AGACATCCTTGCTCCTGGGTAGGAAGAAGAAACATGGTGAAAATGACTATACTTCCAAAACTTCTGTACAGATTTGATGCAATCCCGATTGAAATCACAACAGTATGTCTCACAGAACTTGAGAAAACAATCCAAAAATTCATTTGGAACCAGAAGAGACCTAGAATGGCAAAAACCATTCTAGACAACAGAGACATGACAGGGGGTATCACAATTCCCAACCTGAAACTATACTACAAAGCCACTGTGATAAAAACAGCATGATACTGGCCAAGAAAAAGACCCGAGGATCAATGGAATAGATTAGAAGAAGCAGAAAAAGAAACAGACATACTCAGCTAACTTGTCCTTGACGGAGGAGCCGACCATCCTCAGTGGAGGACAGATAGCCTCTTTAATAAGTGGGGTGGGAAAAACTGGATTTCAACCTGCCAAAGATTAAATTCGATGCCTATCTTTCACCATGCACTAAACGAACATCTAAGAGGATTAAAGATCTAAATATCAAAACAGAAACAATAAACTTAGTGGAAAGTAAATTAGGTAGAACTCTTGAAGACATTGGCATAGGAAAAGACTTTATGAACAAATCCTCAGCAGCATGAGAACTTCCACAAAGAAACAACAACTGGGATCTCATTGAATTAAACAGTTTTTGCAGTACAAGAGTAACCACCAACAGAGCTAAAAGACAACCTACAATGTGGGAAAAGTATTTTTTACCAGCTACTCCTCAGACAAAGGACTACTATCTAGAACATATAAAGAACTAAAAGCCGGGCATGGTGGCGCACACCTGTAAGCACAGCACTCAGGAGGCTGAGGCAGGAGGATCACGGTGAGTTTGAGACCAGCCTGGACTACATAGTGAGTTCCAGGTGAGTCTCAACTACATAGTGAGACCCTGTGTCAAAAAAAAAAAAAAAGTACTAAAAATATTAGACCCCTCCGAAATACAAAGACCCGATTTGAAAATGGGCATCTGAAATGAACAGACAAACAAGTAAAAACAGCAAATACATATATGAAAAAATGTTCAACATCACTGGTCATTCGAGAGATGCTCATGAAAACAACACTGGGATTCTACCTTACCTCAGAAAAAATGGCTGCTATCAAGAAGTAAAGCAATAACAAATGCTGGTGGGGCTGTGGGGAGGAGGAGCCCTTCTCCATTACATGTGAGAGTGCAGAGTGGTGCAACCACTGTGGAAAGCAATATGGAGACACCTCGAAGAACTAGGATTAGAGGTCCCATTTGACCCAGCTATCCCTCTGTTGGGTATCTTTCCAAAAGAATTAAAAGAATCATACCACAGTGATATATATGCACCCATGTTTATAGCGGCACAGTTCGTCATAGCTAAAACTTGGACACAAGCCAAATGCCCCTCTAATGGAGACTGGAGAAAGATGTGGTTTTTCTATAAAATGGAGTACTACACAGACATAAGGAGTGAGAAACTAGAAACTTTTATAGCTAAATGGATGCACATTGAGGCCATACTCTTTTGTTGTTGTTGTTTTGTTTTGTTTTGTTGCGACAGGGTCGCACTATGTAGTTGAGACTGAACTGGAACTCACTATGTAGCCCATGCTGGTCTCAAACTCACAGCGATCCTCCTGCCTCAGCACCCCGAGTGCTGGGAGTACAGGCGTGCACCACCATGCCTAGCTGAGGCCATACTCTTAAGTGAAATAAATAGGACACACTTGAGTAAATACCGAACAGTTTCTCTGGTGTGAAAAACTAAAAGTGTAATAAGGTTCAAATGGTATAATCGAGAGTGTGAAATAGGAAGAAAATGGCTAAAAGGAAAGTGGGAAGGGGAGGGGAAAGTAAAGAAGGGAAAAGAAATAATGTGAAAAAACGAAAAAATGGAAACAAAGTCTTTGTCAATAGGGCAGGGTGAAGGGGGTGAAGGGAGGGCAGGGGTATGAGGAAAAAGCAAGAACCAAGATCTGTCATGTAAAGGTACAAGATCCTAATGATGAATGTACACTTACTGTATACTTGAAAAGTACCTATAAACTCAATGAAACAGATAAACAATAAAACAAAAATGTAAGTCATTTGGTGAAGTTTTTGGGCTCTTCTATGGAGAGTATGGTGTCATCTGCAGATAATGATAATTTAACTTCTTTTCCTATCCTCGTTTTTTTTGTTTCTTTCTCTTGTCTAACTGCTCTGGCTAATGTTTGCTAATATTTTATTTTCAAAAGGTATGTTCATCACTGGCATATTGTTCGCCCGCGTTTTTCATTTAAAACAGCCAGGGATGTAGCTCAGCAGCGCCACGCCTGGCAAGGGTTCCATCCCGATAAATTTCAGGGGTTTTGGTCATTTCGGTCTCCTGTCTTTTGGGCCCTGTTGCTTTTGGACCTGGGGTGAAGCAGCACCTTTAGTCTGTCCTGGCCTGTGTTCTCTCTGTCTAGCTGTCCGTCTTTCTGTCTCCTTCTCTGTTTCTGTCATGAATTCCCTATTACTGTTACTCTGTATTTATCTCCATCTCATTCTGTCTCTTCTCATTCATGTTCTTCACTCCCCTGTGTGTTTCTCCTATTGCTCTTCATATATGTCTTTCTGCCTAGACACACACACACACACACACACGCGCGCCAGACTTCATTCTCCCCATGGAGTAACCTGCAGCTCTCAGTCATTGTGAGCCTGGGCCCCATCTTCTCCCTCTGTGGATCCCTCTCATGTGCTGGACACACTTCCTGTGCCCTCCCTTTGTGGCCAGGCCCTGTCCCATGCGCTGCGCCTCACTTTTCCCGAGGAGGAGCGCTGTCTGTGTCCCTCGCCCTCTGCTCTGCAACCTACTTCGTGGGCCTATTGCTGCAAGTCCTCGTGCCCAGGGAAAGGGGTTTATCCTGCTGCTCTTCCCCCAACTCCTTCTGATCATGTCAGTGGGGCCCTGAGAGAGGTGCCCCACAAGGTCCTGACCATTTCTCTCAAGGATGAACCAGGGACGCCCAGAGAGGTAAGGCGCGGTGAAATGGCATTTGCAAGGTGAACTTTATCCTAACAACATTGGCACTAGAGTCCACAAATCCTCATGCCAATGGGACGTGATCTCATTGTGTTGATCTGTGTGACCGGCACTCGGGACAAGCTACAGAGCACTTGTAGCCACCCCAGAAGCTCACACCTGCTTTGCTTTGCAGACGGTACTTCTACTCCCAAATGTTAACCTGCATGACTCGGGCTCTAGAGAATGCAGTCATAGAGGTGTGGACTGTGTGACCAGCTCCCCTTGGCATTGTATCTGGGATATTTATTCACATCACTGCAGTATACTGGGTTGCATTCTGGCCTAGAGATAGATCATAACGTCTTTATCCATTCTCACATTCTCTCCCTGTCCCTCTCCCTCTCTGTCTCTGTCTCCATCCGTGTCTCTGCCTCCCTTCCCCCTCTCATATTTTTGGCACTGGGAATCACCCCAGGGCCTGGCCACGGTGAGCACACACTCCTCCACTGAGCTGCACCCCAGGCCCGCCTATTCTTCTAAGGATGGGCATTAGACTGGGTTCCAGGGTGGCGACTTGGGGGATCCAGCTGTTGTGAACATTCACACACAAGTCCTTAGGAAAACACGCCTGCGATTCCACTGAGTACAGTGCACTACAGTTGCTCAGTCAGCTGTTTGAGATGCCGGGAAACAGTTTCCCGAGAGCTTGTACAGTTCTACATTCACATCTATACTGTGCAAAAGTTCCGTTTCCCCTGCAACCTTAACATGATTTTGTCTGGTTAGTCATTTTGATTTTTGCCATCTTTTAGGTACAACATGATATTACATTGTGCTTTTTGCATTTCGAGGATGACTAATGAAGCCAAGCACCTTTTCGGGGGACACTGACAAAGTTTTCACCTGCGATTCAGCTACAATGGAGGCTGAGGCAAGAGCATCACAAATTTGAGTCTTGCCAGGGCCCCTTAATGAGATGCTGTCTCAAAATAAAAATAGCTAAATGAAGCTAAAGTTGTAGCCCACCCAGAGGTAGAGTGCCCCTGGCTTTTATCCCTGTTTTGTTTTCTGTGTTTGTTTGTTTGTTTGTTTGCTTTTCATTGAGTTTATTGGTACATTTAGGTATACAGTATAGTTGTTTATCATTGGGATCTTGTACCTTTACATGACAGGTCTTGGTTCTCATTTTGTCCCCATACCCCTGCCCTCCCTTCACCCCCTGCACCCTTCCCTATTTACAAAGACCTTGTTTCCCTTTTTTCCTTTTCTCAGATTTTTTCTTTTCCCTTCTTTCCTTTCCCCAACCGTTCCTACTTCCTCTAGTCCATCAGCCCTTTCCTTCCTATTTCACGTTGTCAGTTATACAATTTGTGTCTTATTTACACTTTTAGTTTTTCACACCCGAGAAACTATTCGGTATTTACACATGTGTGTCTCATTTCTTTCATTTAAGAGTATGGCCTCAATATCTAGCCCTGTTAACTAACAACGACGATAATAATATAAAGGCCTTTTGTGAGTTGTTTCATTTATTTGTCTTTGTCTGATTATATTTGCCAAACTGGATCGGTCCTGGGGTGCTCTATCCAAAACTATATCCACAGATCGTTTTATTCTCTCTTTTGTGACAGGATTTCGCCAGGTGGCCCAGGCCCTCCCGCCTCACACTCTGCAGTAGCTGAGGTTAAAGTTGCGCACGGCTATGGCCAGCCTCTCGCCTGCTTTGCTATTGGGCTCTTTGTTCCTCTTGATTGACACTTGCAAAGATTTTTGCTTCTCTCAAAAATATAATGAGGGGCCGGAGACTTAGCTCAGTGGTTCCGGTGCCTGCCTCACAAGTGCAAGGACCTGAGTTCGATCCCTGGCACCACCCCCAAATATATATGTATAAAACGAACCCTCCATCACGTTAGGCCACATGTGTAGCATCCCAGGGACAAGCTCTGTAGTACATTTCTTTTGGCGTCTTGGCTTGCTGTCCATAGGGGTCCCCAGCAGAGTAAGAGGGCGCGCTTCTTACAGGAAAAGCTGTCACTCTCCGATGTGACTGTGGAGTTCTCCTGGGAGGAGCTGCAGTTGCTAGACGCTGATAAATGGAAGCTGTACCAAGAGGTGACCCAGGAGATCTACAAGAACTTCATGTTCGTGGGTGAGCACGGCCCTGCTGTGTTGTCCAGAGTACTCCCTGCCTGTAGCACTGGGTCTCTCTCTGTCTGCCTGTCCATATCTCTATCTGTCTGTCTGTCTGTCTGTCTGTCTCTCTCTCTCTCTCTATCTCTCTCCCCTTCCCTCCCTCTCTCCCTCTCTCCATCTCCCTGTCTCTCTCTCTCTCTCTCTCTCTCTCTCTCTCTCTCTCTCTCTCTCTCTCTCTCTCCTTTCCTTTACTGGGGTGGATCCCACAGTGTCACCCATGATGATTAAGTGCCTCATCAGTGGGCGCCACCCCCAGCCCTAGGTCCTTTCTCAACTCTTGAGACTCAGGGGACTGGTGACCTTCTCTAAGATTTTGTGCCAACTTGTCACAGAGAGTTAAGCCCCTAGCAGCATTCTTTCTATTCCTCTGCATGAGTAGATGAATTCAGTTTGCTGATGCGTAAAGGCACATTGCCACTTTGCATTCTGTACCCCAGAGATCCTGGGACCTGCATATTAATTGGATTTTCCATGAACAGTGTCTCATAGATCCAAGCGTCGCCGCTCCGCAGGGAAAACCGAGGGAGAAGCTGAGGGAGAAGCTGTGCCTTCCAAGCGGCAGCGACAGCCCACATCAGACTAGTCCAGGTGAGTGTGAGTCACCCGCAAAGGAAATGCTGGCTGCAGGATCCCGTGGGACAGGTCTGCAGTGACACCTAGGAAATGGTACCGAGGACAGTCCTGACTCTTAGTGTCACTGAGGCCAGTTGACAAAAGCACGCAGTTACATTGGAGATGATCTTCCTGGTAGTCCCATTCACAGATCCCTTTCGTTTTAGTTTCCTTTTTCTCTGGCCAATGTGGAAAACTTGCAGTGGTCCTTGTGCTCGTTCTGTGACGTCCTCCCAACAAAGGCGATGGACTCCCGCGACAACCCTTTCTTCATTTGCTCTGCCTCCTCGAATCCCGCGTTCTGCAGTGCGTGTCTCCTCCGGGACGCGTTCTTCACCCGCACCAGCTTTCTTGACTTTCTTTGTGAAAATCGGGCCACATCAGGGCGTCGGTCTTTATGATCCCAGACTCTTTGAGGCCTCAGTCTCTGATGGTTACCTGGGTCACGGAACGGAGGCGTTGAGGAATATGGTCCAGTTCCCAGGGAGAGAGTCACACCCAGGAGGCCATGGTGGCTCACGCCTGTCACCCTACCTTCTTGGTACACGGAGGTGGGAGAACAGTAAGTTCTCAGCCAGCTTGGCAGCTCATTGAGGCGTGAGACAACAGATGCTGGGCGAGGTAACTCGGGATTAGAGCACTTAGTTACCTAGTGTGCGTGAGGCCCCGGAGTCAATGCTCAATACCGCCAAAACAGGGACCCCCTTCAGGGTTGGGACTGGAGCTCTGTGGTAAGACGTTTGCCTATCGTGCTTAAGGTCTGCGTTCCAAACCCAGCTCCACAACGTAAGAAGAGGAATAAAGACAAAAATGTGCCCCTGTCTCAGAAGGGAGACCGACTCCCCGATGGAGTAAAATCCAGGGAGGGAATAGATTAAGTATGGATGGATGGAGCCCTTCAGAGGTGGGCCACATTCAATATCGTTGAGTCTTCAGTGAGGTCTGGGTCACTGATGTTGATGGAGTTCCCGAGGACACGAGGAAATTGTGCTCGGTGACAACGGAGCGGAGACGAGGTAGGACGGGGACAGGAAAACATTCTGGAGAGTTCTTGGTGTCCTAACGTGAACTCACGATGATTTCAGGGAGTCAGTTACCTTGTTCTGTAAAGGGCCAGATAGTCGATATTTAGGCTTCACCGGCCATGTAGTGTCTTTTGCACAGGCGCAATTCAAGCCCGAAGGGTCAGAGCAGCTCTGTTCATTTCCTGTTGCCGCCTGACGAGCTTCAGCACCATTTACTGCTCTCTCACAGTTCCCACGAGTGTGGAGTCTGGGCACAGGTTAGCTCGGTCCTCCGCTCGGGTGTCACAGTGTATATTCAGCGTGCCACCCTGTTTTCTCGTCCTAGGAGGCTCAGAGTTCCTTTCCAGGCTCTCGCGGTGATCGGGGAACTGGGTCACTGCGGTGGTGGGTTCGAGGTGTCAGCTGTTAGGACCGGGCCGCGCTTTCCCGCCACGTGAGCCTCTCCTTCCACGGTGCGGATCACCGCAGTTTGCTTCACCAAGGCCATCAGGAGCAGCGCCCTCTCCACATCCGGAGAGACCTCCTCAGGGCACTGACGAGTCACCACCTTTGCTTCACCTGTTGGTGAGCAGGCTGCCCACGTCCTGCTCACGCTGAAGTGGAGGGCATAGCACGAGGCTTTTCGCACTGGCGTCCGTCTTCATGACTTTTCTTGTTGCTCAGGCAGAATACCCGACACTCAGAGATAAAGGGAGAAAGCTTTATTCGGCTCACAGTTTGTAGAGGTTTCCGACCGCTGTCGGCTGGCTCCAAGGCAGGGTGGCCTGGCAGAGGGCGTCACGGAGGAGAGACGGTCCGTGGCAGAGCAGGGCAGGCAGAAGGCACCACCAGCGAGTCCCGGCGACCTTGGCAGCTTCTTTCTACCTCCTGTCTATTCTATCTAGGCTGCCGGGCTTAGGCTGGGTGCCAAAGCAATCCGTGGACTAAATTAGTAATCACGCACACTTAATCCCCACATCCCGCATTCTACCTAGGTCCATCCACCTCTGATAAGGCCCTACCTATGACCGCATGAGGCTCGGGATTCTAGACACAGCCGTGACAGGTCCCCTTAGGTGTGCCCACCACGGGACCGTAGGGAATGTGCAAAGGCCTGTGCTCCAGGAATATTTTATTGACCCTAATAGGCAGTAGGGGGAAATGGCCTGCGGGCCTAGTTTGCTGACTCATGAGCGAGACTCAACTCCTTTCTCTCAGCCTCTTCTGTCTTGGAAATGGCTGTGCTATCCGAGTCCACTGGTAACTGTGTGTTTGGTACACAGCCCTTTTACTCAAAGTGCCAGTACTTTGTCGGCCATAGAGCAGCTACGGAGCCCTATCTCTCCACCTCCCTACTCCATGCTACCTGCTTGTTATTCTCTGTAAGCCAATGGGGCCTAGTTTCTTTTTCCTTCTTCTAATTGGAGAGATTGACTGTGCAGCTTCCCAGCCCCAAGTTTCAGGAGATTCTCAACTCCGGTGTGAAGGTATAGAAAGCCTCATAACTGCTTGGCTCTATTTTGGAAGATTCCATATAGTCACAAACGCCGACCAAGCTGTGAGGGGAACCAGGAAGCAATTTTCCACCCTGTTCCACAGGGCCAGTTTAACTACACCACATCTCCCTTCTCTCCTTCAAAGTTACTGTTTTTTCCCTTGGTGATCCACGCATGTGTCCAGCTGAGCTACTTGATATGAGCAAATATCCCATTCTCCATAAAGGTTCTGTTTACATTTTCTTTTTACTCATACAACTGTGGACTCGGGGTTTTTTCTTTTACTTAGTGGGGCATGAATTCTTCCATTATTTCCTTTGACTTTGTACTTCAAGATAGCTGTAGATCCAAATACCGTGGTAAGAAATATTGTGCAAGGAGGTCCTCTGTGCTCTTTCCTAGATTCTCCAGATGGTAACGTGCGGTGGAGAAATCGACGTGGGTCCCATCTACACAGCTTATGCTGATCTCACCAGTTTCCTGCGCATTCGTTTCAGTTTCTTCCCCTCAGTTATGTCCAGGTTCAAGATGGTTCCATCCCCCGAAGCTCCCTCTTCTCCTCCTTGCAGCAGAACAGGCCCACGCACCCCACCGCCCTAGGCCCTGGAAGCCCTCAGTGGCTACTGTTTGAGTTCGTTGTAGAAATAAAACAATACCTGCATATATATGTGACTGTCCGAACTGGCTTTTTCACGTAGAATAATTTCGTCGAAACCCGTGCATCTGGCTCGTTCCTCGTTGCCGTACGCCGTGCTTCATAGTGTGCATGAACTACGGCCTGTTTGAACATCCACCCCTAATGCTCAAAGGTGTTTGTGTTGCTCCCAGTTTAGGGCTATGAACATCCGTGTTCACATTTTCCTTGAGCACAGTTTTCATTCGTCTGGGATGAAGGTGCAACAATGTAACCGCTGCGTTACATGCTTCGTCCGCTTTGTTGCGTTTGGTTGTTTGGCGTGTGGGGATGAACGCAGAAGCCCTGTGTATGTTCTGAATGTGGAATAATACATTCGGCTGTAGCTCCAAACTCATCAAGCACGAGAATTCACTCTCGGGAGAAATGTCAGGGTAAGAAATTTAGAAAAACGTTTGTTTTTGTTCTTTTTGGTTTTCTAGACAAGGTCTTACTCAGTAGCTCACACTGACTTTGATCTCATGATCCTCCTGCCTCAGCTTCCCTAGCCTAACATTCCAAGTGTAGAACCAGGCCTGTATTATGTTTTTTGAGACAGCTGTGGGTTGCCTTTGCATGTTATGTGCAGCTCGTATTCCTCTTATGACTATTAACCTTCAGCCTCTCTTTTGTTCCCCTTCCAATTTCTTTGTCATCATCTCATCATCACCAGCATCATCATCGATATTATTAACTTGCAGCACTGTGGGTCAAAGTCAGGGCACTGAACAGCTGCTGTACATGCCAGCCCACCTTTACGCGATACTGGGAGTTGAACTCAGGGCCTTCTCACTGAGCCAGATCACCAGTCCTCCACCCTTTCTACATTTGGAGACGGGGTGTTGCCAAGTTGCCCGGGCCGGGCTGCTTTCTCAGAGTCCTGGATTATAAGCATGTGTCCCCGCACCCGGCAGATATTCCTGTGGACACTGACATTGCCCCAGCATCGGCCAGCGGGGTTCCTTTAGGGGCCCCGTGTCCTGTTGACTCGTCCCCATACCCTTGGCGGCCCCTCTGCTTTCTGGGATGATAGGACGTTCCAGCCTCAGGTAAATCTTTCCCTGTCCCAGCCTGAGCATGTGTCCTTTCAGCAAGGAGACGTAGCCTGTGTAAATGGGAAATGTTTAGCACCAAGATGCGGGTGCCAGGACTGCCCAGTGCCGCTAGGTTGGTCAGTTTCAAGCGATTCTCAGTGCACACAGCAAGGGAACGCACATATGGGAAGAGAATCTCAGGGATTCCGACCGTTATTTTCCATTCAAAGAGAAGGCTGCAGGACTTTTACTTCTTTTCTATTTACATCTGTCTCTTAGTATGAAAATTTTGCTTCCTGCTAACATTGACACAATTATTTATTTGCTTTAACTGTCTGTACCTATAAAATAGTTACCTAGTAGCAACTCCTATTAAACTGCCAATACAAATGACTATGCCAGATACCTATTTTAGCAATCATAGTTCTTTGTGTCTATGTGGATTTTTCTTTTCTTTTCTCTTCTTTTGTTTGTAGTGCTAGAGAATGACCGCAGTGCCTTTGCACTGAGCTCCATCCCCAGTCATTCTGAATAGTTTATTCTGAGGTCGGATCTTTTTTTTTCTTTCTTTTATTGAGTTTATTGGTACATTTTAGGTAAACGGTACAATTACGTTCATTATTGGGATCTTGTACCTTTACATGAAAGGTCTTGGTTCTCATTTTATTCCCCTCGTCTGTGCCCTCCCTTCACCCCTTCCTCCCCTCCCCATTGAGAAACACTTTATTTCCATTTTTTCATTTTGTCCTATTTTGTTTCTTTTCCCTTATTACCTGTAGGATCTCACTAAGCCGCTGAACAGCAGAGGCTGGGCTCCAACCTGGCCTCCAACCTTTTGTGTCAGCTTCCCAGACTGCTCAGACTACAGCAGGGGCCCCAGCTAATACTGAGGGGCTTAGGGTTTGTTTTTCAGTGGTGGGGCGGCGGTGTCGGACCGAACCCAGGGCCTTACAGGTGGTAGTCAACTGCTCCACCACTGAGCTACACTCCCAGCCCCAACGTGTTTTAGCGTCGGGATGTTAACCATATCAGCAAAGAAAACGATGCTCCTGCAGGAACTGTTGTGTATTACTGTTGTAGGATATACAAAAAAATACTAATTGTGTACCCTGAACCTGAAAATCAAAAACTATTATAATGTGAAACCAGTATTATATAGACCATTACTAGGGAAAAATACTTCCAATTGGAGAAAGACAGTGCTTTATTAATGTGTGGCTTACATTTTATACCCATTAAAAGAACCGGCTTAGGCTTATTCGTGGATTTTCAGCACATGCTGTGGAACAGTAATGTGACTATAGATTGTAATTACGTGCTGTGCATTTCAGAGAGGTAGACACATGTTTTTTTCCCATACTGGAGGTTGAACCCAGGTCCTTCACTCTGAGCTACATCCACTGCCCGTTTCGATTCTGTATTTTGAGACAGAGTCTTGCTAAGATGCTAAATTGCCCCAGGGCTGGACTGGAACTTGTGATCTTCCTGCCTCACCACGCCCAGGTGTAAGGAAGACATGGAAAGATCTTGCCATTAGGAAATGACCAATGTTTGAGCAGGTCGGTACGTTACCTCGATTTCACCTTTGCACCACGCATCCATTCCGTGGTATTTCGTGAAGGCTGAATTTCCCTCTCCATCCTGCCTTTGCTGCATCCCATGGTTTCGATGTGATCTTTTCATCTCATTTGCCTCAACCATCCTAATTTCCACTGGGATTTCCTCTTCGGTGCATGGATTATCGAAAAGGTGTCGTTTGATTTCTACTTATCTGTGGATTTGCCACTTTTCCTTCTACCACTGATTTCTGACTTCGTTGTACTGTCTTCCGAGAAGATATATTGTACGATTTCAGTGTACATTTGTAATGTGACATTTGCTGAGACCTGTTTTGCAGCCTGTCAGGGTGCCACACACCTGTAATCCTAGCATTCTGGGAGGCTGGGGCTGAAGGGGGGCAAATTAAAGCCCAGCCTGGCCAATTTAGCAACTTGGGATACCCTGCCTCCAAATACAAACTAGAAAAGGGGGAGAGAGAGCTCAGTGTGATGAAGGTCCTGGCTTCAGTTCTCAGTGGCCACAAATGAACAATCAAACCCAACCCAGCGCTTTGCACGGTGCCCTATTAGTGTGTACAATCTATATGCCTTCATACTTCAGGTAAAAATTAAACTTTGAGCTGGTGTGGCGAGGAGTCCTTTTAACCCCAACACTCTGGGACGCTGAGGCAGGAGGATCATAAGTTTTAGCCTAGCTTGAGCAACATACAGACTCAGTGAGACCTGCCTCAAAATTTAAAATGAATGAGAAAATAGCTGGGCCTGTAGCTCCGTTGAAAGGCCCTGGGTTTGATCCCCAGTATCACAAAAAGAAAAGTAAACTGAGGAGACATTTCACAAGAGAGGTTATACAGATAGCGGATAAATCCATGAAATGATGTTCACTACCAGTGGCTATCAGAGAGTACAAAGCCACAATGGCTCATCGTCTACGCGCAGCACCATGGCTGAAATGAAATACAGTGACACTCAAAATGCTTGGGAGAGCACAAAAAGCTAGATCAGTTTTCCCCCCTGTACTGGGGATGGAACCCAGGGAGTGCTGAGCTCTGTCCCCTGTCAGTTTCTGTCTTGCCTCCGCCCCGCTAGGAGCTGAGACCACAGCTGTGCCCCATCCCGTCTGGCTCCTTCCGTTGAGCTTTTTGTACACGTTTGCAGCACTTGATGATGACGTCCCTTGGGGAGTTGGTACACGTGCATGGCACAACTCAGTCCTTTCACCCCCTTCATGTTCCCTCCCCATCTCTTAGCCATCTCTTCCCGTTTGCAAAAGCTCCCTCTTCCTGTTTCACTTCATCTGTCTTTTACTTTGCTCTTTCATTCGTCTTTGTTTTCTCATATAAGAGAAACCATACGGTATCGAAGCATACGTGTCTGATTTATTTCACTTAACAGGATTTCAAGGCGTATCCATTTTCACACAAATGATTCAAATTCAGCCTTCTGTCTAGTAGAGTTTTCTAATTTCAATTTTCTAAATGAATTCTTTCTTTTTACATTGTTGAGTTTAAGAAATTCCTTATTCACCAGGCATGGTGGGTTTATATCTGTCATCTCGGACTTCTGGGAGGCTGAGGCAGGAGAATCGTGAGGTCAAGCCCAGCCTGGGCATTTTAGCAACTTAGCGAGACCCTGTCTCCAAAAAAATTACATAAAAAGGGTTGGGAAGCCCTGGCTTCCCTTCCCAGGGCCACAAAACTGCAGTCAGAGAAAAAGAAAAGGAAAAAGACAATAAGAAAGGAAGAGAGGAGGGAGGGATAAATGGAGGAAAAGAGGGAAGGGGAGGGGAGGGGAAGGGAGGGTAGGGCAGGAAGGGGTAGAGGGGAGCACAGAGAAGAGAAGGGGAAGGGGGACGGGACGGAGGGGAAGGAAGGAAACGGGCAGAGGATATAGAGACATTTCACCAAAAGGGTACACAAATAAGTGCATGAGATGATGTTCACTCTCATTAGCTGTCATGAAGTAAAAAGCTTAGACCACGTGGAATGAACAGTCTGCACGTTCGTTGGATGGCTGAGATGCAATACAGTGCCACCCGAGTCGCTGGGGAAGACACGGAAAGACTTAGGGGTCTTTTTGTTTTCCATACTGGAGACTGAACCCAGGCAGTGCTGAGCTCCATCCCCAGTCCTGTCTTCCTCCTGCCTCGGCCTCCCAAGCAGCTGGCATTGCAGGCCTGTGCCACCACGCCCGGCACAGTTGCTCGGTACTGAATAACAAGTATGCTGTGGTAGCAGTCTCCGATAATTTTCCGAAAATATTAAAGAACGAAACTGTAAAAGATGAAAACGGGAAATCAGTGAGGAAGTTTCAAAGGCGGTGAAGAGACCTCCTGTTGCTGAACACAGCCAGCCGCCACCTCCAGGGTGCCCAGCAGCCTCTTCCCTCGC